ATCAAATGCTGAGCCTCATGCATGCTAAACATTTGCTTGCCACTGAGCTATACCACCAGCCTAACAATTGTGGACATGTTTACACTGTAGAAAATTAGGCTCTCATGCCTTGTAGACACAGGAGTACCTCCAAAAAGCTAGTTTTTAAGAAATCTGTATGTAACCACATTAGTAAAGTAAACAAAAGTACAGGTGGGGGCTTTTCGGCTAGCCCCCTTCTGCCCAGGAAACATCCTTGTACTAGAAGAAGAGATGCAGGCCACCTGACACCTGGACCCCAGGTGGCTTCCCTGAGAGGCTGTGTCTGGATAGGTAGACAACCCTTGCTCACTCTGCATTCCTCCCCTAGCCTTGCATGGCGCCTTCCATGGCCTGTGTCACCTCCCTCCTACCCAGAAGCCCAGGCCCCCAAGCCTTTGTTGAATTGTATCCAAGGTTCAGCCAACTTGCCCCTCCCTGAGTCCTCTACTTTGAGGATGGCTTCTGGGCTTATGTATATTAATACATCTTTTTTATTTTTTTCTGTCAATCTACATATTGTCAGTTTATCTCATAGAACAAATTCTAGAACCTTCAGAGGTACAAAAGTACATTTAAAATTTATCTACAACCAGCACACTACTGCCCCTCCTTCCGAATTATTCCAAGTCAGGCATTTCTCTCTTCTTTTGGTCCTTGCATAAAAAGGCCTTTTTGTTCTCAAAGCCTGGTTCATTCCCTGGTGTTATGGTTTATGTCTAGAGAGCCTCCAAGAGCCCCATGTGCTCATAGATGGGGCTTGTGGAAGGTGATGGAATCATGGGGCCAATGGAGTTGACCTCTCTTAGGAGGCAGTCTGGTAAGAAGAGGAGGACCTCTAGGTCACTGAAAGTGTGACTGGAAAGGCATATATTGTCCTCAGCTCCTCTTTTCTCCCACTTCTTTCTGGCCAGCATGATGTGAACAGCTTTCCCTCTGCCAGTCCCCTCTATCCTGCTGTTCTGCCCTGAAGCCAGCCAACCGTGGACTGAAATGTAAGCCAAAAGATACCTGTCCTTCTTCAATTTGTGGGTACTGAGTATTGTGTGACAGCACAAGGAAAGTGAACTAAGGCAAAGTGGACTAAGGAAAGTGACTAAGACAGATTTGGGCACTGGGAGTGGAATCACAGCTGTGAATATTCCCAACCAGGTGGTTCAGAAGCCTTTGGAACTGGTTTGTGGAAGGAGTTTGGAAATGTTTGGAGATGCCAGCTAGAGGAGCCCTAGAATGCTGTAAGCTGAGCTTGATGTGTGACACTGGTCAGAGCTCAGAAGACCAGAACACTGACAGAATGCAGACAGTAAAGGCCAGGCTCAGGAGGTGTCAGTCAGGAAGAAGGGCTCCGAGAGGTGCACTGACCTCGGGCACGAGACCACCATTCTTCTTTCTACATGGCTGTGCCCCCTCCAGGGCTCTGGGGCAGAGCCAGCCTCTGTGGCAGAGCCAGCCCTGGCCTAGTGAGGCCTGGTGAGGCTGCCAAGTACACACAATGACTCTCCCTGGGGCTGCGAAGAGGTCACCGTGGAGTCAGACTTCCGGGGTCACATTTCATTTCCACCACGTGCTCTGCAGCCAGACAGCTCTGGCTAAGGGTATAACAACATCCCTCGTGGGGTGAGGGTATTGTGAAGATTACACGACACAGGAGCTACGAATGCTGCCTTCCTCCAACAGCCCTACTCAGGGCTGCTGCACAACATTCCAGAAGTCCATGCCCACTCTAATCTGGAGTTTTAGGGGTTTTTTTCTAACCCACTTGGCCTGACAGATTCCCACTGGTGCACAGGCATTTGCCATCTGCTTCCTAGACACTTGGAACCATAGGTAGGCAGGCTCTCTGCCCTGCCACCCCCACCCACCCACGCCAGCTCAAAGCACCCCTGCCAGAGCCCCTGAGTCCCTTCATGGCTGGCCTGGGCAGAGCAGGGTGGAACCAATTTAAGCCCTCTGTTGAGCACCCAGAATCGGGGCCCACAGCCAACCCCAAGAGCCAGCACCTTCCCAGGGAGTATTCATTTATCTCCCATGGGGCCTCAGCCTCCGCTGCAGTTAGAGATCAGATTTTCCATTTGTGCTCCAGGGCGGATCAGATGATTGTCAGCCACAAAACAGTGGCCTAGACTTTAGAGTATATTTGGGGGTTTGGGGGGGTGTTATTTGAGACAGGGTCTCACTATGTGGTTCAGCCTGGCCCTGAACTCTCTATGTAGCCCAGGGTGGCCTCGAACTTGCGGCGATACCCCTGCCTCAGCGTGCCAAGTGCTGAGATTACAGGCATGTGCCACCATGCTGGGCTGGTCTGTTTGTTCTTGCTGCAGGCTAACTTCTACTCACTCTCCCACTCACACAGAAGGGGAACCATCTTTACAAGGACGGACTCCTCCCCAACCACTGGACTTCGCTCTTCCAATCCCCCAGGCTCTACTCTACTGGAATATTTTTTTCTCAGTTAAACTCTTCCTTCACCTTCTCTCACCCCACACCATGGTATCTGCTGAAAGCTTTCCAACTCTTTTCACATCTTGGCACATTTATAAAATAGTTCTCCTGGGCCAGAGATTTAGCTCAGTGGTTCTGAAGTCTGCCTCGTAAGTGCAAGGACCTGAGTTGGATCCCTGGTACCAGAAAAAGAAAATAGTTCTCAGTAAGATTTACTGAAGAAATTGGAGGGGGCTACTCCTATCCAGGAGCTCCAGGCTTCTGAGCCATTCTGAAGGGATCATGGTGGGCACCCCCAGTCCCATTCTTAGGGCAGCCTGCTTGGGAAACACTGGCTTAGAGAAATGTATCTCAGCCAGGTGTGGTGGCACATGCCTGTAGCCCCAGCACTGGGGAGGCTGAGGCAGGAGGATCATGGGGAGTTCAGGACGGCCAGCCTGAGCTAGAGATACCCTGTCTCAAAAAGGCACACATACACATACCATACACACACACACACACACACACACACACACACACACACACACACAAACACTTTCAGATATATTGGGGCGTCATGCTCAGCTGCAGCTTTGGGACTTGCCCGCTCCTTCTCATACAAGGGACAGTGCTTGCCCTGTGGCTAACAGACCTCCTAGGGGCAGGGGGACACTCCAGGAGCCCCTCTGGTGGACTGGCCCCCTCTCCAGGTTTTCATCCCAGCCGTCACCCTACCCCCAGCTGCAGGAACAGTCCTGCCCATCTGATGAGTAGCAAGAGGTTAATTTGTGCTTAGGGATGGGGCTCAGCAGGGGTTTTGCTTTGCCCCAGGGCATAAAAGCCAGCCGTTCTCATAGGAATCCTATGAAAAGTGTGCTGAGCACATAACTGCTCCCAGGCTGTAAAAGTTTCCCATGCTATACTCATAGGTACAATTTTTTATGGAATAAAAAAATGCTTTTGGTGGTACTGGTGATCGAAGCCAGGGTGATAAGGGGGACGGAAAACACCAGCAGGGGAGATGGCAACCAGGTAACATGGGAACGCGGTGAGTCGTGGAACGGGGTGAACTTGCCTCAACTCTGCTCCGGTCGGCACCCCAGCACAGTTGGGCTGCCCCCCACCAGGAGGCAGCCGGGCATCAGCACCGAGCCTCTCACTCATGTCCACCTCACCACAGTACCCGAGTAGCTCTCACCAGGCTCTCCGGGCAGCCACACCTCGGCGTCACCGCTCTGCCCTCAAGAATCACACTGCTTCCAACAGGTGCTTAGCCGTAGGTGCCCACCGGGGAGCTCTCCGCTCTCCAGTCCTTCCTACACACGCAATTTTCATATATCCTCCATGACATGTATTGAGTCAAGTACCAATACCACATCAAGCTGTGACTATTGTTTCTTTTTGTCAGCCAGCTCTGCTTTCTCTAAATAGTAACTCCTGTAGTACACTATCTGACATTCCGTAAATCTGGAATAAGCAACATTAACAAGCCCTTCTTGCATAACTAATAAAATGTGTTTAAAGCCCATCCCAGACCTAGAGAATTAGAATCTGTACTTTAATATCAACAAGTCATTCTCATCTATATTTTATATATTTTTTTCCCAGTACCAGGGATCCAACTCAAGACCTTGAGCTTGTTAGGCAGGCGAGGTGTCACTGAGCTACATCCCCGGCCCTCGTCTATATTTTAGTACAAGTACTGACTCAGTGTATCTGAGCCACCAAATAATTTGAAATCCGTTCTCAATGAAACAAATGAGGGAGCAGAGGATTCCACACAGGTACTTGCAGAGCTGAATGATTGTTAGGTGGCTAGTTATAGTGATGCCTACTGTCATGCCTGGCCTGAATGAGATCTTCACAAGCAAACAGGCTGCTCTCAGAGACAGGCTAGTCTCAGTGGACAGGACAGACGACAGAATACACAATCTCCCCAGTGGTGAGTAGTGGTCTTCACGCCTGTGCTGACCGTCCTTAGACACTCGGTCATAAACATTCCTTATTACAGGCCCCTTTCAAGAAGCTGTATAAGCATAGTTTTATTTCCCAGCTAGCTACTGAAATCTACTCCCAGTTTCAGACTGTTCACTGCTATACATTTTTCCTCACAAAGCCTGTCCTGGGTAGTTTCACACGTGCCATTTATAATACCCATCTGTAATCCCAGCTACTTGGGAAGCTGAAGCAGGAGGATAGAGAAGTTTAAGACCAGCTTGGGCAACTTAATGAGAATGTCTCATTTTTTAAACGAGGGCTTAAGGTAGCACCTAGTGCCTCTTGGGTTGTCTCCAATTGTGACTTAGCATGACCTTGTCTCAAAGTTTTAAAAAAATTTAGGGGCCGGGATTTAGCTCGGTGGTTCTGGCACCTGCCTTGAAAGCTCAAGGTCCCAAGTTCAATCCCCAGTACCAAAAAAAGGTTTTTTTAAAGAGTTAGGGATGTAGTTCAGTGCAAGGGCCCTGGGTTTAATCCCCAGTAAAAGAAAAATCAGGTGGCTTTGAATACCACCTCAACTGGTCTTCAGTGGGTCAAGTATCTAAAGTGATTCAGAAGCCAGGTTGACATTTTAAATGCAAACATTTTTATTGACAGTTCAGGACTAAAACAATTCCACAGAACAGAAAAAAATGTACAAGACGAGACAATGGAGCGTTAAATTGCAGCAGACAGATTAATACTCTTCACCCTCATCCTCTCCCTCAGCACTGTCTGCTCCAATCTCTTCATAATCCTTCTCCAGGGCAGCCATGTCCTCCCGGGCCTCAGAAAACTCCCCTTCCTCCATTCCCTCTCCCACATACCAGTGAACAAAGGCACGCTTGGCAAACATCAGATCAAACTTGTAGTCCAGACGAGCCCAGGCCTCAGCAATGGCTGTGGTGTTGCTCAGCGTGCACGCAGCCCGCTGCACCTTGGCCAGGTCTCCACCGGGCACCATGGTGGGAGGCTGGTAATTAATGCCAACCTTGAAGCCAGTGGGACACCAGTCCACAAACTGGATGCTGTGATTGGTCTTGAGGGTGGCGATGGCAGCGTTGACATCCTTGGGGACCACGTCACCTCGGTACAACAGGCAGGAAGCCATGTATTTACCATGCCGAGGGTCACATTTCACCATCTGGTTGGCTGGCTCGAAGCAGGCATTGGTGATCTCTGTTACACTGAAGTATTCATAGTAGGCCTTCTCGGCAGAGATGACGGGGGCATAGGCGGTCAGAGGGAAGTGGATGCGGGGATAGGGCACCAGGTTGGTCTGGAATTCTGCCAGGTCAACATTCAGGGCTCCATCAAATCTGAGGGAAGCGGTGATGGACGACACAGTCTGGCTCATAAGGCGGTTCAGGTTAGTGAAGGTCGGGCGCGGAATGTCGAGGTTTCTCCGACAGATGTCATAAATGGCCTCGTTGTCCACCAAGAAGGCACAGTCTGAGTGCTCCAGGGTGGCGTGGGTGGTGAGGATGGAGTTGTAGGGCTCGACCACAGCTGTGGACACCTGAGGAGCTGGGTAGATGGAGAACTCCAGCTTGGCCTTCTTGCCATAGTCAACGGAGAGCTGTTCCATCAGCAGGGAGGTGAAGCCAGAGCCAGTTCCCCCGCCAAAGCTGCGGAAAACCAAGAAGCCCTGGAGCCCTGAGCACTGGTCAGCCTGCAGAGGAGTTCATTTTAGCATTGAGACAGCGGGTGAAAACTGCAATGGACTTCTAATAAATGATTAGACAGACTTTAAAACTTTTAAATAGCATTTGCTAAGAAAGCAATTATAAGAGCTTCAAAGTGCTACGTGATTCAAAAAACTTTCCATATTAACTCCTGCAAGGGGCCAGGATCTGCAAAAAAGACTATTTTAAAATGAACCCTCATTTTCTCAGGCAGAGCTCACGTGGCCTGGGATGGCACAGGGCCCAAGTTTTGCAGTCTCTGGTGCTCAAGTTGCCCAGTGCAGTGCAGGTTATTGAAAATGAAGTTAGTACTCAGAACACCACTTGGCCTAGCAAGCACTCAATGGGACATGAGGTGAGACATTTGGGCCAGGTGATTTACTAACAGTTCCACAGCACTGCCTGTCACTGGAGCCGTCCACTGCTCATCTGTGCTACTCTGGCTAACAAACTGCTACTCCACCAAAGGATGAATGTTGACCTTTAAACAGTTTGCTGGTGACTGCTGTCTTCTCAGAGGTGCCTGGGGATTTGCTGACATTCTCTACTGACCCTCAGTGTGCTTATTCCGTGGGTTTCACATTCAGTACCCACAGGAGAGTCCCGTGTAGGGCAGACCCCATATCTACCGCTACATCCCTCAGGTGTCCTGGGGACACAGGAATAACACCAAGGACAAGGGAAACTGCTTTGTCACTCAATGATTATCCCCTCTGAACCCTACATGGCTTTGATTATATTTGCCCCTAAAAACAGGTCCCTGATTTCCAAGGCAGTGGTTGCCGCCGAAGCTTGATTTGCCAGGATGGGAACCATTAACCCAATTTTGCTGGGAAGCCTGGGATAAACATCTGAGGGAAGTGTGAAGCCAAGGATGCAAGGCCATTCTTTTCAGAACAGACCAGTCGTGGCTGGGCTTAGCGTGCGATTTTCCTGACAAGCTGCTCTGCCCAGGCCTTCACACTTGATTTTTGGTTAATTACTTACAAGCTGCCCACATGTGTAGGGAGCAGGTCATCGGACTGCCAAGCTCTTAATCAAAATGATCCACGTGTACACCATACATCCCAACCATCCTGACGAAGTTGCCTGAGACTTTCCCGATAAAAAGCCGGGGCACTACTTTTCTGTGACTGTCCCTCAAAACTTCAGAATTTCAAAGGCTGCTACTTGCTTCTGTCCTAAGGAAGCTCCTGACTCCTTTTCCACTTCCGACTTTGTTGGGACTCTCCATTTGCAGCTGTGTGTAGATAGTTACACTGGCTTCTTGTGCTCTGAACTTTTTTTTGGTGGGCTGAGGACTGAACCCAGGCCCTTGTACATAGCAGAAGTGCTACCACTGGGTTCACCTCCCTTGAGCTTTACTAACAGGGCACAGGCCCAGGAATTTTTTAATGAGTTTGATCAATTAGTTACACATAGGAGTAGCTATTTAGTATAACTAAAATGACCTAAAAAGGGGTGGTGTCTCAGCTGGAAACAAAGAGACTTACTCTTTTAAATGGTCTTAAATGTCAGTGAAACTGTTAAGCCTTCTCAGTCCTCATCGTGACACCAGGTACACTGCCCTCACTGAAGGAATGAGCAAACTGCCCCAATCTTCTATGTAAAACACACAGAAATAGCAAGGGTATGTGCTCTTGCTGGCAATTGTCCCATAACCCAGGACCATCTGGTTTAGAAGGCCACTTAATGTAGAGAGCAGCCCAATTAATTACAAGGAATGATTCTCATAGTTTGGCCAGCCACAGTGGCACACACTTGTAATCCCAGCACTTGGGAGACTGAGGCAGGGGGACCACTGCCTGGGACACACAGAGTTTTAAGCCAGCCCAGACTACACAGGGAGACCCTGTATCAAAAACAAAAACAAAACAAAACAAAAAAACTAACCCCACTTCAAAATGTTGAAAGGGCTGTGCTCACCAGTTTCCGAATTCGTTCTAAGACCGGGTCAATGATCTCCCTGCCAATGGTGTAGTGCCCACGGGCATAGTTATTGGCAGCATCTTCCTTGCCTGTGATGAGCTGCTCAGGGTGGAAGAGGTGGCGGTAGGTACCAGTGCGCACTTCATCTGGAAGAGGAGAAGAAACCTGCTGCTCATTACTAAAAACCTGCACTTCAACCCTGGGGAGACACCAGAGCCCTCGGCTGCACCTCATGTCCCAGTACCCTGGGACATCCCACAGTGCCCAAGGTCCACTCACCGATGACTGTGGGTTCCAGGTCTACAAACACTGTCCTGGGCACATATCTGCCAGCACCAGTCTCACTGAAGAAGGTATTGAAGGAGTGATCTCCTCTCCCAGTGGTCTTGTCACTTGGCATCTGGCCGTCGGGCTGAATGCCATGTTCCAGGCAGTAGAGCTCCCAGCAGGCATTGCCAATCTGGACACCAGCCTGGCCAATGTGGATGGAGATGCACTCTCGCTGTGGGGAGAAGAAAGAAAACTGTCAGAATGACACATCAGATGAGAAACGTGGAAATGTCACACCTAGATAACTAACCTTCAAAGACAGATAAGCACCTTCCAGAGGCCACTCTTGCCCAGAGACTATTTCATAAGCAAAACTCTTTGTTGGGCACAGTTGGCACATGCCCATAATCCCAGCTACTCTTGAGGCAGGAGGATCACAAGTTCAAGGCCAGCCAGGGCAATTTAGTGAGACTGTCTCAAAAAATAAAAAGGCTGAGGATGTATGTAGCTCATTGGCAGAGTGCCTCCTGGGTCCAACCCACAGTACAGGGTGGAGGGAAAGAGGTCTTCATTGAAGACATAATTCAGGAAAACACACTTTGGAAGACCAGACATGCTGACGATCCACCATGGAAAGCCAGACCCTTGCTTTGTAGCCACACATCAAGTTCGGGTTTCTCCATTTCAGAAAGGCACAAGCAGTTCTATTAGCAACACAATCCCAATTCCCCCCAGCTCCTGGGAAACATACCTGCAATTCCTTAAATTAATATCAAATTCTCCTTTCCAGCACTGACTCACTGTGTGACTGTGTAATCCTGAATCCATTCTGGTGCCTCTTTAATCCTATTCTTTACAAGAGGAGAGCTTCTTCCTCTCTGCTTGAAAACTAGCTTAACCCAGCAACTCTAGCCCTGATTCAAGGGAGAATGCTCGAGAAGCACCAGTTAGCTGTATTTTAAAGTGTGGTCAAACCAGCCTTTTCACTCAGTGGCAGGATTGGTTGTTTTTAAAGACTCTAATCTTCAGGAAGAACATTCTTCTTTCACCCTCTGTTTTTTGGGAGGAGTGTTAAGACAGGGTCTCACCATGTAGTTCAGACTGACCTTCAACTCACTGTGTAGCTCAGGCTGATCGTAAACTCGAAGCTATCCCTCTGGCCTCAGCCTGGAATTCCAGGCCAGGCACGTGCCACCACACGCAGCTAGATTTTGAGTTTTTAAAAGCTTAGCCAGTAAGAAACTAATGCAAAATCCCAGCACTCAAGAGGCTGAGGCAGGAGGATTGCCATGAGTTCAAGGCCAACCTGGGCTTACATAGTGAGTTCAAAGCCAGCCTGAGCTACACAGTGAGACCCTGTCTCAAAAAAGGAAAAATAAAATAATTCAAGAAAAATTTGCCAGGTATTGTGTGGCACATACTTGTAATCCCAACTGTTTGAGGGTCTGAGGCTAGAGGACAACTCCAAACCCAGTTTGGACAACATAGCAAATAGAGCCCCAACTAAAAACAGAAAAAGAAAATGAAAACTGAACACGAACTATGTTCTTGAAGGTCCTGGTTTCATAACCCAGTAAAAAACCACTTTTGACATATGATCACCACCCTTCCACATATGCTCCCCATAAAACCATCAAGGCTCCTGAACACACGAGCAAGCTCAGCACCACCTGTGACTGCTCGCCCAGGTCTAGGGCTGTGGGAAAACAGAAGCCGTGTGTCCTAGAGAGCCCTTTACTATCTACTATTGCATCAGGTTTATCTGAACTTTGGAAACTCTACAGCCAGAGAAACTGGAGAGAACCAGCTATCTGTTCATGATGGACCCAGGCTAGGCCCAAGCAAATGCAGTATTGTATCTAAGAAGATTCACTCATTGTAACAAACCGCTTCCTTAACAGAAACCATAGCCAGGCGTGGTGGTACATGCCAGGAATTCCAGCACCCTGGGAGGCTGAGGCTGGAAGATTACAAGTTCAAGTCCACCCCAGGCAACAGACACTTGGAGGCAACACACCCAGCCATCTGCTGTCCTAAAGCTCACCACATAAGGTCAAGGGCTGTTTTCCCTCCGCTCTCTAGGGCCATGGGGGGGGGGGGGCCAGAGATGAGGCCCAGGTGAATCTGTCTTGTTTTAATTGAATACCCGACCACTGGCTCATTAAAAACCACCGCCAGAACCTGTGTTTCCCTACAGCAACTGTGCCGCCCTGCTCTCCTGCCCTTTAAACAGCTGTTTCCGAATCACTTTTACCAGATCTTTTGGGTCTTGCTTGATGAGCCAAAGCAATGTGCTACAGTCACACAGGCTTTCAGTAACTGTAAAAATTCTAAACTCCAAAAATTCCTCCATCAGCTGTTCATGGTATCCCTTTAACAAAAAGATACTATTTTGAAACACAAGATACATAGATACTTGTTTAACATGACTTCTTTTAGATAGACTTTCAATAGATGTTGTCTTAGTCGTTTCCAATACCTCCGGGAAGATATATAGAAAATGCTCCAGTCAATATAATTTTGGGCGGTGCTGGGGTTCAAACTCAGGGCTTGTGCATCTTAGCCAAGTGCTCTACCAACCCCCAGCCCAATTTCCTTTTTTTTTTTTTTTTTTTCTTTTGAGACAAGGTCTCCCTGCACAGTTAAGACCCTCTTTGTACTCACTTCTGTAGCCTAGGCTGGCCTCAAACTCGCAATCATCCTCCTGCCTCAGCCTCTCCAGTGCTGGGATACAGCGCCACTGTGCCCAGCTCCAAGTTCCTGTTTCTTGAAAACTAAGAACATGTTGTTAGTACTAGTTTACTCTTGTTTTGCAAGAAAATATCCTTTTGTGGAGGTTTCTGAAACCTGGTTTTAAGTGCAAGCTTCACGCTCTAAACATCCCACGAAATTAACACCAGAAAAGCAGGGTTAGGCAGTGACAGTTAATGCCTTCAAAGGAGCTCGCCTCCTCCTCAGGTGGACCGGTGCAACTGGCCGTGCTCAGAGCTGGCCAATCACAGAGTGGTACAGGGATCCTGCAGGGCTGGCATCTGAGGGAACGGGAAGGTGAGGCAACTCGGGGAAGTGTGGGGAGAGACCAGGTTCTCCAAGTCCTGGGGGCCAACGTGAAGGCTCCCTGCCCTCCCTGCACGGTGGCAGCTGGCGTGGGGCGGCGAGAGGACCACAGAGCAGTGCCCGGTGGCGCTCTGGAGCCCAGAGCAGAATGGGTCAGGCCCACTGGCCTTTCCCAGCCTGGGCGCACGAGCCAGTAGGACCTGAGGGCAGGAGCCGTGGAGGCCCCAACGGCACCCTGCAAGTCTCGGTGCCCCTGTCCACTCATCCTCTACCCCGCCCCACTGCCCGGTGACACCCCCATTCACCATGATGGGGACTTGTAGGGGTCAGTGGTGCTGGAGGTGAGAGGGCGGCACTGAGGATCTCCCACGGACAAGCTGCGGAAAGTCCAGAGCAGAAGCAGTACCCAGGGCCAGCGCGCGGGGCCTATATATACCCGCGCCCCAGCACAGCCCCGCCCACAGACAAGGGCAGGCTGCTGTGATTGGTAGGTTCAAAAGTTCAACCCAAACTCAGAGCTGGGAGCCAGGAGTGGGAAGGGGAGGAAACAGCCACGGAGGGCAGAATGGGCAGGGAGGGATTTAGGAGGGCCGGGAAGACAGGGTGACCGCACTTCCCCGAGGGGGTAGTCGCATCAAGTGGAGCCAAGTCACATGCCAGGTGAAGGGGTTGGGGGCCGCCCGGGGAAAAGCTCCGCCTCTCTCTTCTTTCATACGTGCACAGAAAACTGGTGAATGTGAACTGTGGCTGCTAGGGGATGGGTATAAGTTTAACCTGTGAGCTTCAGAGACATAAAATTCTAGATTAGACTTTGAATAAAGCATAGCCTTGTCTTGCTGCTAAGGAAGGTCGCATAGGTGATTGGGTAGAGAACACAAGTGTCTCAGAGGCTTCTTCACCCTAGGTCCCGGGACAAGATTTCTCTGAGCCATTATTTGAATCTATCCATCTCTAGAGGTGCCCTCTTTTCCAAGCTGAGAATCATTCCATCTACAGTGAACCCTTGACTTATGAACTTCATCGGTTCTCAAGGGTTGTTTGTAACTCACATTGGTTATAGGTCAATTCAGCTGAGATCTGGATGTTTACCTGGGTACATGTTATAGACAACAAGAGGCAGATGAATCTACCATTAACCTAATTAACCCAAGTTGTTCATATGTCAGGCTGGGCGTAACTTGAAGTTCACTGTACTTCCAACTCACTCTTTGGTGTCTGCTCTCACTCTCTTTCAAAGAATTGGAAAGCGGTGGCTTAGATCTCTTGATTATTGGTTTTCTTAGCAAGGCTTCCTCCTTTAAACATGACTGTTACAGCCTAACCCAATTGTAGTTTGCCGTTTTAGAGACACCTGCCCTAATTAGGAGCGTGAGTTTCCAGAGAAGATAGGGTCACAAACCAGTAAGGGGTGGACAGTGCAGGCCGGGTTGGGTCCACAACCCCACAGCAGGGCAGAGGCAGAGAGTAAGGCAGAGCCTGGGAACCTCCTCCTCCTCCCTCAGCCTGGGCTACAGGAGAACCAGGGCTGGAAGCAGGCAGGAAGCAGGCAGGGCTGGTCACTGGGCTCCGACCAGCTCTGTGAATGAGGATGAGGGGGCCATAGGCCTGGCTGCAGCCCCTGGGGCCTTCCCAGGGAAGAAGGACGTCCCGTCCCGGAGTCCTGAGCCTCAGAGAGCCCCTTGCTTGCCAGGGGAAGTCAGGCAGGAGGCAGAACAAAAAGCTGAGCATAGTGATGTAGGCCTGTAATCTCAGCACTCGGGAGGCTGACACAGGAGGATCAGGCGTGAACCCCAAAGGCAACTCCACCAACCCCAGCAACTGGGACTTCAGCAGCAGCTTCTTCTTTGCAGGCACGGTCATCACCACCATAGGTAAACGGCTGCGGGACAAGGGGGCTCCCGAGGCCCCGTCTTAGTCGGGCTCCCTGGGAGCAGAGGCTGGCACGGGACGGGGCCCATCCAGGGAGGAGGAGGGAAGCACAGGCGGGGAGCGGGCAGGTGAGACGGGCAAGACAGGGAACCAGTTGGGCCGCACGGGGTACCTGCAGGTGGCTGGGCCCACACCCTCGGGGCCCTCGGGACAGGCAGAGCCCAGCTCGGCAGGGCCCGAGGGCGAGGATGCGGCCTCCAGGTCTGACTCGGGCCTGGCTGCTGAGAGCTGGTCCCAGAGCACTGCCTCCCGGCGTCCTGGACCCTCGGGGACAGAGCCGCGGCCTTGTGGTGGGCAGTCGGCTGTGGGCAGGGGCTGTGCCCAAAGCAACAGCATCTGCTGCACCCCTCGGCCAGAGAGCCCGCTTCGCGCCCCCGGGAAGGCCCCAGACCCTCCGTAACCCGGGACCCGCCCCCACGCACCAGTGACGTCCACTCCCACACACCTTCCCCACACCCCCGCAGCCTGAGGAGGGCCCGGTGCGGACACCCTGGCTCGGCCCTCAGCCTCCGGTCCGAAAAGGAGGGCTCAGGTGAGCACCATGACAGGAGGCGAGGTGGGTAATTAGATAGGGAAGGCACAGAGCCCTGCAGGAATCTCACCCAGCGGGAGGAGGAAGCAGACGTCAGGAGGGCTTCGTGGAGGCAGCGTCATCTGCAAGGGGCCTTCAAAAACAGCAGGATTTCTGTGATACAGACCACTGAGCAGGGGCGGGTGGGTGCTCACGGGGAGAGCAGAGCATCCGCCCTGCCCCTCGTGGCTGGAAGACAAACCTCTGCTAGAGTCTGAGGCTGGAGTCTGAACTTCCCTCCCTCACAGGATACGGGAACCTCGCACCCAGCACCGGGCTGGGCCAGGTCTTCTGTGTCTTCTATGCCCTCGTGGGCATCCCACTCAACGTGGTCTTCCTCAACCACCTGGGCACAGGCCTGCGCACCCACCTGGCCACCCTGGAGAGGCGGGAGGAGCAGCCCCAGTGCTCCCAGGTAGGGCCTCCCGCCCTCCAGCCCCGATCAGCGCCGGGCCAAGGCCAGCTTGGGGTGCAGGGCGGAAGGGGAGACAGCCATAGAGAGAAGGGGCAGTGGAGGGATGGGGCAGGGGCAAGGCTGGGTCTCAGGGCAGGATGGACGAGGTGGGGCCGCCTGGAGCTCTGCCGTGAACAGGGCCATCGGCGTGACTGCAGTGGCCCAGGGGCCAGACTTCCGTGCCTCAGCTGGGCACTGGGCCAAGCCTTCCAGGGAAGGGGATGCCATGTGCCAGGGCTCTGCAGCTGAAGGACCCCTGACGGAGCTGAGCGTGGGCCTGCAGCCCTTGGCCGGAGAATCTGGGCCTGCATCACTGTGGTCATCACAGAGCTCCGGTGTCCTTCCATGTGGTCAAAACAGAACCAGGCCACCCAGCTGCCCCTAGGCCCCGCCCCCTGGGGGACGGGTGTGGCGGGACCTGGGACAGTTCAGTGACTTCCTGCCTAGATCTGAGTCCCCCGGGAGCCTGTTCAAGCGTGACCCTCGAGGGGGCTTCAGATCCCTCCTGTCCCACTGACAGCCTCTGCCTGTGGCTGTCACCCTGGCCGGCCAGGTCACACGCCCATGGATGAGGCCCCACCCCAAGGTCTGCGGGGCAGGCACCTGGTCTCCCCGCTGCAGCCTTCCAGGTGGGCTCAGGGCTGCTCCCCTCCCAGCTCCTGCAGGTCCTGGGCCTGGGCCTGGGCCTGACCCTGGGGACCCTGGCCATCCTCATCATCCCGCCCGTGGCCTTCAGCCACGTGGAGGGCTGGAGCCTCAGCGAGGGCTTCTACTTTGCCTTCATCACTCTCAGCACCATCGGCTTCGGGGACTACGTTGTGGGTGAGGAGGAGACAGCAGGGATCTCGGGTGGGAGACCCACTGGGATTCCGGGTGGGGAGAGAGCAGCCGAGGACGTTTCCAGGCAACAGTGGCTCTCAGCGACCTGCTCAGGAGTCTCTGGTCCGGGCCATGGCCATTCCCCGGGGACCCTGCTGGACCTGGACGATGGGGGCCCTGGGAACCTGGGGGTGGCTGGGCCCTCAGACACCTGCTGTCCCTCCTGTGGCAGGCACGGACCCCAGCAAGCACTACATCCCGGTGTACCGGAGCCTGGCCGGCCTCTGGATCCTCCTGGGCCTGGCGTGGCTGGAGCTGCTCCTCTCCCTGGGCCCCTTGCTTCTGCACAGGTGCTCACGGCTCTGGCTGCTGGTCAGGGGCGGCGGCCTCACGGACGGGCCAGCCCCTGACCCGGAAGAGCTCCCCAGGCCTCAGAAGAGCCCCATCTCTGCATGAGGCCCCCCACGGGCCCAGCAGCCCCCAGCCTCCCCAGCCCAGGCCGTCTGCCCTCGGGTTCCCCGCCCTGCCCTGCCCACTCACTCCCCAGCCAGGGCTTCTCAGCTCGGCAGAGAGAGAAAGGGGGCGTGGGGAGGACAAGGAGGCCCCGGGTCAGCCGGGTGTGGAGTGGACATGCACCCCGGACCCAGAGCCCCTGCCCCCAGAGATGACCTGGGAAAGCCCCAGTGGATCCCTGTGGCCAGAGCTCCTCCCTCCCCACTGCGCCCCCACACCTGAGACAGACAAAGGGTTCGGGTCTCTGTCCCCCTGGAGAGGAGCACAGTGCGCATCCGCCGCCAACCCGAGCCAGCTGTGCGCAGGGAGACAGGTCTGGGGCGCAGCGGGGAGCGTCCTGTCCTAGCTGAGCCTCTGGCCTGGCAGGCGGAGGAGTAGCGAGGCAGCCGCAGAACAGCGCCCAGAAGCCTCCGTGGGCCCGAGGCGGGGATGGCGGTGCGTGGGGATGGCTGGAGCGGCGGGCCAGCCCCCTGGGCAGGCTGCGTGCCCACAGGAAGCTGCCCTGTCCCCAGCAAGGCTCAGGACCTCTAGGGTGTCCCCACCTCCCTGGACATGACCTCCAGGGACCCCCAGGCACCCCTTGACCTCATCACTCCTCAAAAGCGCTTCCAAGCACCCCGAGAAGCCAGAGGCCAGCAGATGCCAGGAGCCGTCCAGGAAATGAGCCCTGGACCCGGCCTCCCGAGGGAACGCGTCCTCCAGGCCCAGCCTCCTCCAGCCGGCCTGCAGCGACTCGGCCAGACCGAGGAGAGCTGTGCACAGCGCTGCCCGGACTCCATGCCGGTGCCGAGGTTCACCAAGGCCCAGAAACCCACCCCACCCCAGCAGCAAGCAGGCCCCTCAGCGCTGGCCTCTGCCCAGCACTGCGCTGCCGGTGGTGCAGCGGTTTCTCTGGATGGTTGGCCGCAGGAGGGGCTCCCAGCACATCTGGGACCTGTGGGCAACCGGAGAGGCCTGGTAAGCTGAAAACCCCTGGGCCTATGGTCCAGGGAGGAGAAGGGGCTCTGAGGCTTCCCTGGTCATGGTTCCCTTGTCTCCCAAGTGCACAGATGGCAGAGAGGCCGGGTCCCTCTCCTCTGAGTGCTCAGTGGCGTCTCCTCCACTGCCCTGGATCGGGTTGTGCACTCCTCTAAGGGGCTGATGCCTGAGGCTCGGGCCTTTTTCTGTCACAGGGATTGGATCCCTAGGTGGGGCAAGGCGGGCCCCTCCCCAGCACCTTCCCCCTGGGGACACTGGCCCAGGGAGGTTGTGGCCCCTCCCTGTGCAGCACCCAACGCAGGCCTGGGAATGGGGACAGCGCCCCCTGCTCCCCACCTGGAGCACCTTGTGCTGGGCCCGCACACCAGATCGGATCAGAACCCGGACCCGGAGCATCTGAGCTGCCGTCTACAGGGCACAGGTTGCCTGGGGCACACAGCACTGTGTCAGAGTTAGATACTGGATGGGCAGAGGGTGACAGGGCCATCCGGCCTCTTCCAGGATAGCCCGTGCAAATGTCACTCTGAGGCAGGAACCTCGAGCTAAGGACCAGCAGGACCAAGGGCGCTCCACCCCCGGAACTCAGGAAAGGGTCCAGAGGGGGCAGTGGAGAGAAGGCTGGAATGGGCACCTGGGCTGGAGCCTGGGGCAAACGCAGGGCTGAGTCCACTTTACCCCAAGTCTTCAGACCCCGGGGGCCGAGCACACAGCCCCAGCCAAGGATGCCAGGAAGCAGGTGTGGAAGGACAGAGGTCAGCGAAGGCAGAGACTCCTCAAAGGATGGGGACCCAGCATCCGGGTCTCCCAGATGGACGGAGATCTCTCCTGACACAGCAGGCGACCCCAGGCTGCAAGCTGCTCACTTCATCAGGGGCCTGTCGTGGTCCCCACTACCCCTCCTCCAGGACCCAAGGGCTGGGCCTGGACAGCAGGGCCCAGCCCAGAATTCCCTCCCTATGCCTCCCCCATGGAGGAGGGCAGGCCCTGCAATTCTCTGGCCAGAAGCCAAACCCAGGAAAGGCTCCAGAGCTGGGGAGGGCAGTTCTGGCTGGGCCCCCAGGGCAGGATGGGAGCTAGACAGGCCAAGGATTCGTCTGCTCTTCATCTTCTCCATGGAGCCTTCTGCCTTGGCCTTGTCAGACTGAACAACTTTCTTCTCTGTGTTCCTGCAGTGTAATATTCCTGCGTAATAATGTGAGAATAGCAACTGCTGACACTGACCCCATGGCGGGCGGTGTTCCATCTTCACCTGTGATAGTTCATTCAATCCTCAAAGCAACTCTAGGAAGGAGGCACTTTGAGTATTCCCATTTCACAGAGTAGGAAGCTGAGGCATAGAGGAGTTCAGTAACTTGTATGTGGGAGCTGCACCTCCTCCTTGATGCCCAAAGCAACACTGACTGCACCGTTTCAGAGCCAAATTCATCCCTGTCCCACCGAGGGCTAAGGCCGTGTCCCTATCTTTAGGGACCTCCCTGCAGGGCCTGTGGCTCATTGCAGCCTCCCCAGGGCTTCATCCAAGCGTGCAAAGACAGAGCCCCCTTGGGGTAACACCACCAGCCTGGGGCCCGGGACTCCTTCTTTTCTGGTCCTCAGCCCTGGCTGGAGCCCCTCTTCCAGGGCTGCTCAGCTCACGGCTTCCCTCTCCCATTGCATCCTCCCCCACCCTGCTCCTTCACCTGGACCAGCGCTGTCCTGCAGGGCGGCCTGGCAGGAGACAGGCTAGATCCAACCCTCTGAATCCCAGCCAGTCAGGGGCCCGGGGCCCTCCTGCTCTCAGCCCCTGCATGACACCGGACTCACCACCAGGGAGCAGGCGAACACCGTCGGCAACTGGGTCCCGGCTCCTCTCCCCGAGCTGCACCCCAGCCTCTTCCCCCTGGAGTGGCAGGGCAGGACCGCCCACTCTTGGAAGCAGAGCTCAGGACCGACCGGGGGAGACAACGGCCCAGCACCCCGCCAGGCCTGGGTGGGCAGAGCTCCTGACAGCTCTGTCCCCAGGGCCATGCCTCAATCCCACACTTCCCGAGTCCTCTGCCCCAGCCCTTGACTCCGGCCCGTCAGATTCAGAGCCCCAGTCTGTGTCCTCTTGGCCTTGGCCATTCCTGTCCCTTCTGCACCAGAGCCGCCCCAAAGCTTTGGGCCACTCCTAGGGTGAGGGCAGAGGAAGGTACGGTAGGAGACACTCGGGTCCTCTGGGTGCAAGGCCGGGGTGGGACCCCGTTCTGTCCACAGGGCCTTGCTGTTTTCACTTCACAGATGAAGAACCTGAGCCCTGAGGAGCCGTGCAACTTCGCCAAGGCTCTGTAGCCCGTGAGCATCGCAGCTGGGATTGGAAACCTGGGCGGAGGCTTCGTTGCTCTTTCCGACCCTGGCCCTCCGGGAGGGATTACGAATTTGCCACTCATGCGTCCATTCAGCATTTCCCGAGCAACTGTGGACAGAGGTGCATAAGGGTTCTCACTCCCTTCTGCAGCACATCAACAGTGCCTCATTCCATCCATGACTCAGAAAGGTCAAGCCCAGGGCCCATGGCCTGCAGGGGGCAGAGCTGAATCGAGCCTCCAAGTGCTTTGGGCTGCAGCCCCCAGGCTCTGCTGGGGGTGCTCTGGCCTTTGCAGGACCTCACAGGCTGGGGCTCCCGGGTCTAGCAGGTCAGGGTGTGTGGTGTGCTTGCTGGCCCCACCCAGGAGAAGGAGTAGGAGGCAGCGGTGTGGAGCAGAATGGGAGGCATCCCAGTTGCTTTGTTTACATTCATTCACATTCATTCATTCATTCATCCAGCCAGCCAGCCAGCACACAGTCTTGCAGCTATTCAAGAGCACCCAACAAGCCTCAGGTCCTGGGCCGGTTGCTGAGACTATAAAGATGATGGTGGCCCAGCCTGTGCCCTTGAGGGGCTCCCAACCCGTGGGGAGGCAGCGATGGAGATGATGGTTTGCAGCAGCAGGGCTGCCCTCACATGGGTCAGATGCTGGGGCCGGGGGCCTCTGTGGTGCACAAGGCGGGGACTGTGCTCTTGGGGCGGATGTGTCTGTCGTGTTCAAAGGCACAAGAGGGTCTACGGGTCCTGAGAGGCCAGGGCTCCTGGTGAGGCTCAGAGACAGGCTGGGAGGCAGCCTGGGCTTCCCCGCACACATGAGCACCAAAGGTGGCTGTGACCAGAGCAGGGACACAAGGCCACCGAGCGGATCAAGATCAGCGGGGGCAAAGCTGGGTGCCCCCAGCTGCCTGGGAGGCTGAAGCAGGAGGGCAGCCTGGGCAACATGTCTCTTAGAACACTTCAAAAACTAAAAGAAAAATTAGAAAAGAAGGTCGGAGACAGAGGCGGGGGAGAAGAGATGTGCAGGATGGTGGACTTCTGCTTAGACAGCTCCCCCTGCCCTGGCCCCTCTTCTCTCAGACCCCAGCTGCCACCTCCCCCAGGTCAGCTGATGGCCCCCAAGCGCTCCTCAGTCCGAGAGGTCGGGAGGGAGCCTGCCAGCATCGGACAGTTAGCTGTGTGTGCGGCGGACATGGGAGGGGTGTGGACAGCTGAGGCCTGCAGGGATGACACCCAAGAGAGGAGCGGGCAGAGCGCAGGTCGTGGGCAGCTCAGAGAAACCCCAGGTGGAGGCAGCATGGAGCCAAGGTGGCCGGGAGCAGCCTGGGGACAGCCGGCCTCAGTGTGAGTGGCACAGTGGATGCTGGAGGTGCCTCTCCTCCAGCCTCTGCCCACTGAGAGGGAAGAGGGGGAGAGAGATGAGGCTCGTCTGACCTGCTCCACTGTCACAGGGAACGCCCCTGCCTCTGCCTCCCCTGCCTCTGCCCATGCAGCTGGGGTCGCCACACGGGGCTCGAGCCTGAAGTCTCATTGACGCGGCCTGGGCAGGGTCACCCCTGTGTGCTGTGACTGGCTGAGGCCCCTCCCTGCCCCACCGCCCGCCCTCCATTGCATCTGCAGCTCACTCCAGCGCCTCGCCAGCTGCCGGGTCTCCTGCCACTCGTGATTCAGCTGAAGGACTGGAACGAAACGGGAGAGAAATGTGCCGGTCCTCCGTGGCCAGGAGCAGGGCCTGGCTGGTGGCCAGGCAGGGAGGCTGCTCCCCGCTGATCTCATTTGGGACAGCAGCAGCAGGACGCATCCGGCCGTAACCCAATCAGCCTAATCCAATCCCTGCTCCCGCAGGCAGCCAGGTCGGCTCGGGGCGGTGCCAGCCGCGGGGTCCAGGAGAGGGGCAGCCTGGGAAACCCACAGGATCTGTCTCGCTCAGGCCAGCAGGTGGGGTGGACGGGGACAGAGTCGTGGCACAGGGAGCTAAGATGGAAAAGGCCATGGACGGATCAGCAGGGCGGATCTTGGGGATCTTCTACACCAGAGGCCATCCCGAGCACTGCAGTTGCCTCAGCCCATGTCACCCTTAAAACAGTTGACAGTCATAGGAGGAAGCAACAGAAAGCAGCAAGGCTCATAGGCTGGGGTGACGGAGGGGCTGGTCAGCTAGGGAGGGATGCCTGTGCTGAGATCTAAGGATGAGGCCAGGACGACTCGGAAATAAAGAGGCTTCAGAGCTGAGGGACAGCATGTGCAAAGGTCCTGAGACAGGACGAGAGACAGGAGAAGGTGCTGGAGAAATAGGTGGGGGCCCTCCTTCCAGACAGGAGAAAACTGTGGGGGCAGAAAAACACCAGTGCAGGCATCGAAATCTCCTGGAGGCTTGTTAACAGGCAGATTGCTGCCGGGCTCTGTGGCGCACACCCAAGACCCCAGCTGCTCAGGAGGCTGAGGCAGGAGGGTCAAAAGTTCAAGACCAGCCTGAGCAATTTAGTGAGACCCTGTCTCAAAATAAAATTAAAAAGAAGTAGAAACCCTAATAGATGGCGGGCCCAGCCCAGAGTTCCTGACTGGGAGGGTATGGGGAGGCCCAGCGTCTGCATTTCCATCCAGCCCTTAGCGGGTCTGGGGACCATGCTCTGAGAACCAAGAGGACTGAGCCCAGCACACAAATAGGAACCTGAGCTCCCAGACTCCAGATGCCAAACCGGGGAGGCCTCCTGGAACCCTGGCTGAGAGTCCCCCATCAGCCTGCAGGGCCCAGCTTCTGCCCCATGGTACCTCGTCCCCCTTAGTGCCCAGGGGCAAGGACAGCTAAGTCAGCTCCAGTGCTATGTTGGCATCTGACCACCCAGACTAAAGGCTACATTTTCCACTCTCCCCCAAGGTTAGGCACAACTGTATGATTGCATTCCACCCAGTAGGATATACAGAGAAGTCTCTTTTGGGATGAAACATGTTCTATTCTCTAGCTGGCTGCAATGCTGATACGGTGGCTGGAGCTCTGGCAGCAGTGTTGCACCACGACGTAGGGGCCATGTTGGAGATTGATTGGACAGTCACAGAAAAAGCCTGGATCCCTGATGATCACGGGGCCACCTAACAAGCCTGGACTGAAGCACTGGACCTTCATTTAGGTTCGAGACAAATAAATAGCTTATTTAAACCCATTGTGGGGGTTTTCTGTCTCTCACAACCCTAATCAGAATGGCCACACACAGAGACAAAGGGAGCCCTGAGACTGGATCCTACGCAGAGAGAAACCACCTGGCCCAGGCGAGTTTGGTCCGGACCAGGGAGGGAAAGGCCCCAGGGCTGGACTGCCGGCCCTGCACCCTGAGCCCCAGGGGCGCTCCCTGGGGATTTGCACCCAGCTGTCCCTCTTCATCAGCTGGCTCCTTGCTCTGCCGCTCACTCCCACCAGAGAAGGCAGCCCCGCCGGAAGTGCAGCCTCAGTTAGCAGAGGCAATGGAGGAGGACAGCAGAGTGTCTCGCCCGCCCCCTCTGTCCCTGCCTCTGGGACACTCTCCAGGGGCCAAGCAGCCGGGAGCCCAAAGCAGAGGTTCTCACCTCCTCGGGGGCACCTGAGTCCACCCGCAGCCATCCCACAGGGAGTGGCCCCTCCTGGGCTCCACTCCACACAGCCCCTGGGTCCCCCCCAAGCCCTGGGACAGGAGCAGGTGGCCTCTCGGCACAGAAAGCCGTGAGCACTGTTACACCACCCTGCTGGAACCATCTCATCCGAGCCCCAAGCGGGCCAAGGCCAGACCCAAGCAGACCAGGGAGCAAACACCAGGCCCAGCACTGCAGAGAGGGCTGGGCCAGGGTTCTGGGGGTGCCGGGAGCCCCAGCTCTACCTCACCGTGGCCCGTTCCCCCTCCTGCCTGGCCCTGGAGCCAGAGTCTCTCTGTCCCATGGAGCCCTTCATCCCCAGGAGGGCTGGCACCCTCAGAAACCTATTTAGGATGGGGGGGGTGCGGCCTGGGGAAGGCTTCTGATTGGCTGGTTCTTGGCAAGCGTCTGCTCCACAGCCAATGAAAAGAGTCCTTGGGACCAAATCCAGAGCAGTGGGGGCCTCTGGGCAGAAGGGCTGGGAGCCACCCAGAGAGGTCTGGCTGTGGGACAGACACAAGAACTGACTGAGGACAGAGAAGCCTTGCACACAGATGCGGGGAGGGAGCAGACCACAGGGACAGCTGGTGCGAAGTCTGCACCCAGGGACCCGGCACTGAGTCCCCAGGGCAGCTCGGCCCTCCAGAGCCACACTGGGTGCTGTCCAGACCCACCCCACCCCGCTCTGTCCCCAACACAGGCCTGGGTCCTGCATCTCCCACCTCTGCTGCCCTTTGCCAGCCTACACCTCTCTCCAATCCCAAGGCCCCTCCCAACCTGCCCCAGCACCTCTGTCAGCCCGGTGGCGGTGGCGGTGGCCAGGGTCAGATCAGAGCCAGGGCGTGAAAGCAAAGCCACTGGAGGGGCCCCTGTCTCCGCCTGCCCCGGGCTTAGGGCCTTCTTCAGCCCTCCACCACACGCCATCCAACCTCTTCACATCTTTTTTTTTTTTTTTTTGAGACAGGGTCTCACTGTGTGGTTTAGGCTGCCTTGAACTCATTATGAGGCCAGGCTGGCCTCAAGCTCACAGCAATCCTCCTGCCTCAGCCTCCTGAATGCCTCACCTCTTTATAGACCACTGTTTACCTCCTCTATTCTTCCTTGGACTCCGGTCGGTGTGAGTCTGTATCCTGACTCTATCCCTGGCTGTGCAATATTGGAGAAGTGGCAGAACCTCTCTGAGCCTCAGACTCTCTGTCTGGGAGGTGGAAATTCTGATTCAAAATTCAAAAAGCCTGTAATTGTTTGGCTGAATGGCGGAGTGGGTAAGAGAGGAGCTGCCACATAAAAGGGCTCGTGGAAATTTATCCCCTTCCATTTGCTTCTCAGACTCAAGCACCTCCCTTCTGTGCTCTTTCATTAGCCCTCCTGGATCTCTTCCTCCGAGAAGCCCTCCCAACTGCTGCCCTCTGGCCTTCAGTGGGCCTGGGAGGGGCAGGAAACTCAGGGCACGGATGGATCGCTTCTCCAAAGCCTGGGAATCCAGGAGAAGGACCTCCACATGTTAG